AGCACCTTTATGCAGGCATAGCATTTACGCAAGCTGCCGCAGTCAGGCGATGCCGGTGGCACCATGTCATAGGACAATTCTTCGAAGTTGGGCACTGGGAACAGATGATGATAGGAACGAGCCAAATGGGGCGCTGATACCAGCGTCAGTCCACAGCATTGGCACTCGACCGGCAACTCACAATACTTGCTGTTGCATTGTGGACAATGATGACCGGTRGTRGACAATTCGCTGGGCTCTTCAAGATTTTCGATGTGGCACATGCACATGGACAGCGGTGCATCCTTGCCCTCAACCTCGTTCTTGCTGTGCGGGAAGCCCATGCGTATCAATGAGTTATCCTGTGTCTTTGCAGCGGGTGGTGGATCCACCTGAGACAACAACTGATCCCGATAATGCGCATCGTCCAACACAGCACCAAACGTGCCCATCGTCTGTTGCGTCAAATAGCGACAGATGTGAATTTCCGCTGATAATGAAATAACCGAACAGCGTATTCGTTCCCTCTTCAGCTCATCTATTGTTACATTAATATCCACGGGATCGCAGGTAGTCAGCGAGCCCATGATGATAACGATCTCTCGCGATGCATGCGATGGCACCACCTTAAGTGTCTTCAATGCCAAATCCAAGCCATTTTGCAGTGAGGGCTCACTGGTTAGAGGGACATTCGCCAGGCTGCAAAAGARCAAGATGATCAAGATATCTCTTACAACTATTCAAAAATATTCGTTCTGCTCACCTTGCTAAAGCCTTGAGATGCACTCGCGAGGTACCGGTAAGCTCGGTAATTTTCTCTGCTCTCTTTGCCTTTAGTGCGATAATGCCCAGCTGGCTRATGGGGTTCTGGTCGAAAAACTCCTCAATAAAGATCTCCAGCAACTTAAGTGTGCACAACAAACGTGTGGGCTTCAGATCAGGCACGCTCATCGACTCAGAGCAATCTAAGACAATGAACATGTGCCGCATCATACCCAGCCGATTCTGTTTAGTCTTATCCGCCTGTCGCTTACGTTTCGCCTTCTGTATAATATCGGCAATGGCACCGTCCAGCAACCCGTCATCATCCTCCTTGATGGCTTCCCTGTAGCACAACACAATTCTACATATAGCAAAACTTAACCAGACCGCTGTTCTCTGAATTTACCAAGTCTTTTCATAGCCAGTCTCCCAACGGTACTCCTTTTGGTCGTCTTGCTCATCGTCGGCCATTTTTGTTGCTTAATTATGATTAATTGTACTAACTAGAAAAACAAAATTATTTTTTTCGGCATGCACATCAGACCGGCAAACAAACAGTGTGCCCACAGCACAATCTGAAGTGATTAGGCAGCTGAAGTATAGAGTTGCCAATATTCATAGCAAAAGCTTATGTCAAATGTCGGAAAGCAAGCAATGATATAAGACAGAAATAAAAAATTACATATATTTCATAAAATATATCCCCGTGCATTATTCAATCGCATTTAATTTGATTTATCTCAAAAATTGTCAAACGGACAGTGCTGCCATACTGAGAGCGGAAATACACCACGCCACGTGATTGGCTAACAAAGTGCTACAAAACGCGGACGAACGGAAAACGGCGCTACACAATCGATTGAGCATATACGACACATTTCCAATATTAAAGTCTGATAAATTGTGCGTATTTCATAACTTACGAGGTTGAAAAAATAACACTGTAAGTAATTAATTTAATTTAATAATTAATACATACTAGTAGTGCAGTTTTTATTGAAGTTTAAAAATTCATATATGTAAGGTAGCGCACTCAAGTGTCATCCAAGCCATTCCCTGAAAACAGAACTGGCCACTTCGTTCAGTTGTACAAACTTTTTTGGCATTCAGAGTTGGCGCGCGTGCAATTGTGAACAGCGTTGCGCGAGTTGGAGAATAAAAACAGTTAAATTAAAATTAGTTGTTAAAATACAAACTGGTTGTTCTCTACATTTGCTCAATATACTTTTGTATATGAAGGTGTGTTTCACAAGAAAAAAAAAAAGCTAAAATACGAAAACGAAAAGCGCATATATAAATGTGGAAAAAAGCGGTCATACATGGAATATTTTGTCTGAAATATAGCTTGATAAGGGGCTGTATTGTATCAATGATCCGTATAACATTTATAAAACCTTGAGCTAAGTTTCGTGAGTGAATGGGTGTCTATATTTAATTAATACATTCAATGCAGATGTAAATGCAATATGCGGCGTTCAACCCAAAAATGGCGGCTAGTTAAAGATAAGAACAAGAAAAGAATATTATTATGTATATAAATTTGAATAAATTAAATATTGTGTAGAGGAGCTCATGTTTTGATGTTGCATTTTCGCGCCCGGTTTGCTGTTTTGTGCGTCTACTTTTGTGCGGGCGTTCGTTGCATTTTTTGGCCATTACGCTTTGTGCTCGCCTTTCTGCTGAGGCTCTGTATTTTCTGCAGCCATTACATACAGCTAAAAATTCACCACACTTTGCTGCCAGTTGTGAATGTTGCCACTTCGTTTCACAAAACACACCACGGCACTGTACTTTTATTTTTTTTTTGCTCTCATGTGCGTGTGTATGTTTGTGCGCGTATTTCCTTCGGTTTTTATTTGTTTTTAANAAAAAAAAAAAAAAAAAAAAGAAATTTTTAACAGAAAGCCTTCGTTATACAGTTGCCCAAGAGGAATTAGCCAACATGGATGTGCTCGTTTGTGGACGCTGCTTGCGCGCCTTTAACTTTGTTGAGGAGTTTCAGTCGCACAAGGAGGATGATGCCTGTGAGAAGGAAAATTCAAGTTTGAAGGAATCTCTCGACACCAAGCCCACAATTTGGGCATTCACGCTTTGGAAGGCCACACAGTTACACACACGCAAGGAAAGTAACATTTCCAATTCCTGGGCACTTTACCAGCACTGGGTAAAGCTAGAAGAGAGCGTGCGTGARCCTTGGATTGTTGCCGGTCGGACAATACAGTCCTTTGGCAAAATCGGGCATGGCCAACTGCAGGATATGCCTGTGCGCATCACCAAAACTGTTGTGAATCCCAACAACAATAATAACAACAACAGCACTGCGAACAGTAACAACACTTCAAGTGTTTCGCCCACAAGAAGTAAGAGTATAGTTTTTCTTATACATATATACTAAATAACACAATCTTCGTCCACTTAAAGAATCGCCTGGTGGTAAATTGCCAACTGTTGCTTCACAACTTAAGGATACAGAAAATGAACGACCCAAATCGAAGCCAGGTACGCCCACTCCACCTGGAGCCTCAGCACAATCGACATTATCGGGCGTTGTCAAGAATAACAATCGCATTGCCACGCGAGTCGATCCCAAAACTGAGCAACGAACTGAGGAGGCTGTGGACAGTATTGTGGCGAAACGCTTTAATCCACGCCGGAAAACCCATGAATATCTGGTTAAATGGATTGATCGGTCGCACAATGAAAATACATGGGAGGTGATGGCCAATTTGGAGCGAGTACCCTACTTTCTGCAAATGTTTGAAAAGCAGCTGGCGCGGCAGAAGCTTAAGCGTGAGAAGAGCCTAGATGCTCTTAAGCGTATGCAGCAGGAAAAACCACAGCAAGACAAACAGCAGTCTCAGACTGGAGGCAAATCGGACGCCGCCCCGCATAGTCCACAATCCTCTGCAATATCACCCAATTCAAGCACAGGCGCATCGCGTCCATCACGCACTTCCAAGACCAAAGCTATGGATCAATTCAAACAATGGGTTAGCGAAGGCGGTACCGGCGAGGGCTCGACGTCGCCCTCCTCGGCTAATGAGGATGAGTCTGCAACGGAACAGGAATGGTCGACAACTGGATCGACGGCAACAGGTATTAAACGGAAATTAAATCATACAGATTCCAGTTCGGAWGCTGCTGGACTAAATGCCTCCAATGACTCGATGGAACTGGAAGATCTTGAGGAGGATCTAATACCTTCGCACACTGTGAAGCGTTTAAAAAACGGCGGCAGCTCCGTGCAGCTGAATAAGCCCAAAATACCAACCACGCCTGCTCGCATCAATGGCAATTCCTCGTCCAGCTCTCTTTTTGGCGATAAGGAGCAGAAAATGGGTGAGGTCATCTACACGGAGGACAGCACAAGCACGGGCCTGTTCCGAAAGCCCGAAATGCCCAATACTATATACGCTGTAAGTATTCGTACTGATGGTCGATAAAAATATACWTATATTTATTTCTATCTATAAATATATTAACCTGATCTCTATCTCTTTYCTTTTTAAGAAACGTAATAAGCTTGAGTGTCCAGTGCGTTATTTATCCCGCTCTGAAATGGTCAACAACAACAGCGGCATCTTTCGCGTAGAACAATCGGAGAGTAGCGCACTTTCGCCAGTTCCAAAACCTAGCCAGACAACCACATCCTCGGTGGGCAAGCGCATGGCTGTTGGTCGATCATCTGGCAACAATTCRCCGGTTACCGTTGGTCAGCGCACGCATGTGTTGCGCACTCCTGGCCAGGTGCCTCCTATGCAACGTCGGCCTGTGGGCAGCAGCAGCACGCCCAATCCGCTGCGACAGACGCCAATGGCCGCCAGAGCTGGAGGCGGAGCTGCCACTGGAGCTGGAGCACGCATGCTGGTCACGCGCGCCAATACGCCACAGCAGCGACAAGTGGCTGGATCCAAGGCGGTAACGCCAGAGCAAAAGATATTGCAATTATCAAAGTCTGGGGATCTCAAGGTGACGCGGAAGGTGATGACTCGAGAGGATCTACAGGCCCAGCGTGTTGCGCAGGTGCGCCAACAGCGTCAGCAGCAAGCGCAAGCCTTGCAACAGCAACAGCAGCAGGTGCAGATCCAGAAGGTCCAACAGTTGAACCCACTGAGACAACGCACTACAAATGCAGCAGTCGCTAAAGCACAACCCATGCAAATCGAGATGGAGGTAGAGCAGGAAGATCTGCAACAGCATCAGGCACAGCTGTGCCCCATTACTGGCAAGCTAATTGGCCAGGAGGAGACGCAGCTTCAAATGGAACAGGAGCAACAACAGGAACAGCAGCGCGAAGAGCTAGAAGCTGCCGCTCAAGCGCTGCTCGGTGGTGATCAGCAGGTGCTCACCAACGAGGATGGCTCCGCGTTGCTGGTGCGTGGCGAAGATGGCACCGTCTATCAGGTGGCCGGCAAGAATGCCGAGGGCCAGACAATACTCGTGACCCAGGGACCCGATGGGGAGCAACAGTTCGCCTATGTGGCAGCCGCCGAGGGCGATGATCAGGATGTGTTAACGCTGGACAATGCTGTGGCTGAAGCCGTCGCCGCTGTGGGCCAACAAGGCGATGCCACCGCTGATGGCGAGCATATACTTGTGACCATGACTGAGGAGGAACTGGCCCAGCATCAGGCTGCTGTGCTGCAGCAGCAGCAGCAGCAGCAACAGGAAGCGGCATCAGCGGGCAGCACGCCACACACGGCGCAGATTCACATCACAACATCGGACAGCGATGGCACCGAGGCACAAATACCTGCCGAGGTGGTGCAAGCGGATTTACCTTCCCCAGGTAAGCGTGACATTAATTTAAAATAATTTCATAAATTAAAATTTAAATTTATTCAAATTACAGGTGGAACCCGTCGCGTAGTTTTGTTGCTGCAGGATGGCACCTTCATGATGACTGAGATGCAAGAAGATCAGTTCAAGACGCTAAATATCCCGACGTAAAGAATTAAAAAGAAAAGATATATAGCATGTATGTAGGTCGTAAGCATTATAACGATACATAAATATAAAGCACGGGCCGTTGTTGTAAGGATACACAAACACACACACAAGAAAGAAGGAAACCCGCTTAAAATTTAAGCATCGGCATCCTGTAGCTGTAGCCGTATCCGTAGCCGTAGCTGTTCCCATTTTGCCAACCATATCGCACATTGAGCATACGCATTCCCCATCCTTTTACTCTAAAAACTTCTATTTTTTTAAATAATTCAATTCGATCTATTCAGAAGGTCCATGCAAACAAAAACAAATAGCTARCTTTGCAGTAATTGAAATTTTCTTCAGTAAAGTAATATTACTTTGACATGATGGGGTTGAGATCTGTTTTATATATACATATATGAGTAAGAAGCTATGTAAATTTTGAAGATTGCAGAGTTTTCTGATCTAATGGATAAGTCGATTCCAAGCGTAATCTTCAATCATGAACAGCGGCAACAAATATACATTAGAAAACTTACATACAAATCAACTTGTACTTGTATTAATTAAAGCAAGAAATTATAAACAAAAACAAGCAAACAAAAACTATCTAATTTAAATAACTTAAAGTAAATCATAATGCAATTCTTTATTCTAAGCAACAACTAAATGCAGCTGTTGCATTTTGAAGAAAGAGAAGTTAAATATACTATTTAGATAACTCAGCAAAATATTTAGAATTTGCAACACACACACACACATGCACACACTGACACATACACAAACATACAGATACACACACTCAGCAAAAAAAAATTAGAAATAGATCATGTAATTGTAATATTATAATTATTGATATGTATTGTACATTATTTAAGTAATTTTTAAAATCGAATGAACTAAAGCAAACAACAATATGCTAATTTCGTTATTAAAAAAAGAGGAAACAGAAGAAATGCCACAAACACTTAACAAAATGCATAGTTGTAAAATATAAACAAATATATATATTAACTGCAATTTAAATTAAAATAATAAAAGATGAAATTCAGGCGATTTCAAATGGACTTTGGATACAAATTGATGAATTGATAATTGGGAAAACGAATTCTGTGTAGTTTGATTAACTTAAAAATAACAAATTAGGAATAGCAATTTCAAGTCAAATGAAAAAAAGTAATAATTCGACTCTGGATGAATGCGATCAACTCATCTTGCATAGAAAAAACGACTAAATAAAATACAGTTCCGATACATTAATTTTATATATTATTCTATTCTATAGCTTTCAATCATAGTTATTACAGTAAGTTGCTTAGTTCTAACTAATCTCTCGCTTCTGAAATTTGGCTATAAAGAAGCCGACAGTATCCAAGTTTTGCATACGATTCTCACGACTTGGCCCAAAGCGCTGCAGAAGGTCGCACTGAGCAGCTTCCAAATCTGGCAATGGTAGACCAGGTGCACCCAGTTTCGGTGTCGCATCCACTAGCTGCAGTTCAGTGTATTTGCGCAAAGCCCAGGACACGATCTCCTCACATTCAGCCTCGGTCACGGTGCAGGTGCTGTAGACAAGGATGCCACCAGGACGGAGCANCAGAGCTGCGGGCGATTTCCCAATCCACTGCAGGGAGCATCCAATAGTATGCGATCAAAACTACCGGATGCAAATGGCGGAGCTATTGAATCTATATCATTGTTGTCATCCCATGCTTTTGTAGCATCAAATTGATGCGCCGTAATGCAAGTGTAATTGGCAAGCTTCTCTGTCATGGAGCGCACACGACTCGCTGAGTTATCCAGGGCAATTATGGTGCCTCTGTTGCATATCAGTTCGGCCATGTGTGTTGTTTTGTTGCCTGGTGCCGCGCACATATCAAGAATGCGTTCACCCGGCTGGGGATCTAGCACCCTTACACATACCATCGAGGGCAAGTTCTGGAGCAGTGCATCACCATCACTTAGATCTCCCAATGTGGGAACTCCACTCACATTCGTTTGCATGCGCACAGCAATTCCCGAAGCTGGTTGTTCCTTGTTGTTGTACAGCTGATGGCGTTGCATGAGCACCTCACCCACACCTATGAAGATCTTCTCATTGCAGTCGTAGCGCGTTGATGTGCCCCGCTTACATTTGCCTGGCAAATCGGCAAACACATTTACAAGTTCATGAAGCTGAGTGCCAGATTCCATGGCCAACACGCCAGGAGCATAAATGTGTGCGCCACGCAATACCGCAGCGCCGCAACTGGTGTCAACAATAAGCTCCTTGCGGCAGTCATCATATTTATTATCCGTTGTTGTATCCAAAGGTGAAATGCACAGCATTTCAGGTATTTCCTTCAACCCATAAACTAGAGGAGCTGACGAACCATAAAGCGCGCTTAATTTGGTTTCCAATTTCAGTTTGTAGTCCGCCACACTGGTGCGTAGTGTGTTGATGCGATATGTTGTAATGCGGGGTGTCTTGCAGAGCCATGATAATAGTTTGTCCAATTCGTGGGACTGCGTAAAAATTGATGAAAATTTACTAACTTTAAAACAAAATCACAAGTTAAACATCAGTGTTGAGTAATTAGAGCAATGTTGCCCTAGTAGACAACAGAATTATCGATATATCGTTCTTGACCGTCTGCCTCTTAAGACAACATATTGACAGCAGTGTCGCTTGACTGTTTGCCCTATCTCGAAACACAGTTGTAATATTGACTCACGTTTACTTTAAGAATTCCATTTTCTAGTAGTAACCCTTTGCCATAAAATGGAGTTTTTGGATAAAACATTCTGTAAATCGATTGGAATATCTAGCATGTCACGCTTGTTATCATCTCTAAATTCAACACACCGGCCTCGCTTGTGGACAAGACGTGGCAGCATATGAATGCCGTATAAAAACCCACCATAGCATATTATAGTGCTGCTGCTCTAGCATACGGGCACGCTCAGCATTGCGTTCATTTTCAGCGTTGGTGAATTTGCAGTTTTTTCAAAGGCAAGTGTATTCTCGGTCAAGTTTTATTTCGCTCTGTGATTTTTAGACATTTCCAAGCAGAAATTTCTAAAATTTCTGCTCAAATTGGTGTGCGTTTGATTCAATTATTTGGTGCGTATTGTTTGTAAATGAAGTCTTAAGTGCTACTGTTATAAAACGGCGCATGATAGTAAAAAGCTGGTAGCATTTTCATCTTTTTGTATTAAAAGTGCTGCCGCAGCAATGTGGGTGATGTTGGTGTATTAGTGTAGAAATTTTAACACACRCACACATGCATCTGACGTGAGCTACTTGCGATGGGAGTGGTATTGCAATCGAATGCACGAAACTCAAATTATCGTTCACAATAAAAGAAATTTAAGCCGCATCGTACAACTATTTAAACTACTGCWCATTTATTTCAATTTGTTTTGCATTGTGATAGTATTGCTCTATTATATAATGCATTTTTTATTGAATTCCTTTTGAAAGTGAGAAATATCGATTGTCCTATACAGTGGGAATCGATTAAAGGTATCGCAACCAACTCTGTGTCATCGCCAACTTGTACATTCTTCTTTGCTGTCGGTTTGGAGGCAGAAAATTTGGTCAAAGGGAAATTTACAAAAAAAACTATAAAGAAAACGGTAAATAATGAGTGCAAAGTGCAAATAATGAAAACGTAATACTAAAGCAATGTCCAAAGTGCAAATCAATCAAGTATTTCGACTAAAAATTAATAAAACAAGGCTACCGCTGTTCGA